CAGCCTGTTGGTTATTATTGCTATTGCTTGTGGTTACTCTTTGGCAGTAAAGTGGCTAATGTGTCCTTTTTTGGCAAACATCTGAGGGTGCATTAGAAACAGATTGATTTTCCCTTCTAGTAAATGTCTTTGAAGCATGTTGAATAAAATGGGAGACCTCCGTTAAACGAGAAAGGATGTTATAAAATTAATTATTATCATAGACAGATCACACATACCTCAAAGGCTGGAAGGAATACAGGAAAATGTCCATGTTTATACCTGAGTGGTGGTGTTATGAATACATTTTATTGTCCTTTTTCTACTTACAGTTCCTGAATTTTCTATAATGCACATGTAGTTACTTTTATAATTGTGTTAGTCTGGGTGGACTAGAGAAACAAATCCAGAGACATTCACATGTAAGAGAGAACTTTATATCAAAGAGCAATTGCACATGAAGAAAGCATCTCAGCCCAGTCCAGATCAAGTCCATGTCTGATAATGATCCCATATGTCAAATACAAGTCTATAAATTCCTCTTCAGACTCATGCAACACATGCAATCACACCAAATGCACAAAGATCACAGGCAAGTGGGTGGAACGTTTTGTGGATACAGTTGTGGTAGAAGCATCTTAGCATTGGGAGGGGTCTCCACGGGGCTCCTCCAGCTCCAGGGCTCTAGCGTAGCTCCATGTGTCTTGTCAACAGGAAGACGAAACAGAGTCTGTGTGCATCTGGCCTCCAGCGAGCTGTGTATCTCCGTGGTGCCTCCAAATGAGGTCATCAAGCTGTGACCTCACTGACAGGCGAGACTCCACCCTTTCGCAAGTTGACACCAGATTATGTAACTACCACAGTAATTTTTTTTAGTTAGTCTAAAGAAATTATGGTAAGAACAAGAAACTAAGGCTGATGTGTCTCAATGCCACGATATCTTCATTCTGGTTCCCAGCCTCCATTTAATGAGCCCTAAGAGATGGCAATTGGTGCTTCTCATTAGGTCGTGAGAGGCTGTGAAGAAATTGTCACAAGAGTCAACACTCCACTGGATCTCAATGGGATGCCAGTGCACACTATGGTTTTGTGAGAAGCACGGTTTGCCCTTGTGGCTCATGGGAGAGGCTCCCTAGCTTCCCAGGGTGGCTGCGTGCGAGTTGTACTGGGGCACGTGCTTGGACCATCTTTGTAACTTCCAGATGTGATGCTGTTTCAGGATGAAGGCTGAAAGCAGAGGAATCACTGGCTGGTTGGTCTCCCTCACTGCCATCTGCCTGGTGACCACGCCCGGGGGCAGGGCGTGTCCTCGCCGCTGTGCCTGTTACATGCGCACGGAGGTGCACTGCACGTTTAGGTACCTGACTGCCATCCCAGACGGCATCCCACCCGACGTGGAGCGTATCAATTTAGGGTGCGTGTGAACCTTATCTTGTCCTTTTTCAAAGGGGAATTGATCCCACTGGTGGCTTGATCCCCCCAAACACTTGAGTCTCTCGGAGATTATCCACCATGGATTTTAAAATTACAGGTGCCTTCTGAAATGAAACGCTTACACTTTGGGGAGCAATGAAAATATTTTTCTTGGTAAAGTAGCAAAGAGTTCTTCTAGAACCTAAAGGCATACTCTTAGAAAGCTGGTAGGTCAAGACTGTAGAGAAGCTTCAATCTGGTTACATTTTTGCAGTGAAATGATACTGCCCCTGTTAACACTCAGATTCGAGATATATCGGTGAGACAGATATAAAGCAACTGGAAGTGTCCTCTGATTCATATATATGGAATTTTGTATCAAGAAAGTGGCTCACATACTTATAGAAGTAGTTAAGTCCAGTCTCATTCAAAACTGTGGTTTCAATGTTAATCTTGGGCTTTTTCTGGCTCACATAGCTGCCAGGCAGATGAACCAGGAAGCAAGAAGACCACAGGCTGGTGAAGGCAGAGGTGGGTAAACGCAAGGGCAGGGAGCCAGGTTCGTGGCTGCAGAGTTGAATGTATTCCAGATTGCCAGGCAATGTGGCAGGCCGGTGATGGTTTCCAGCGCCTGGCAATATGGTGGGCCGGTGAGCCAGATATAGGATCCAGACCAGCAAGAAGGATAATGGGCAGTTCTTCACACAGAGTCTGCTTAAGTCCGAGGAGGCCACCCCTCCAAGGATGCGAGCCTTCAATCCTATCGCAGCTGACTTGAATAAGGAGGTAGCTCTCTGTTCTAATCTTTCCCAGCTGCCTGCTTGCTCACAGAAGGTCCCCTTATGGAGTTGATCACATTAGATCACAGCTTTGGAGAACCCCATGTTGACACAAAATCTCTGGTATATCCAGGATATGTAAGCAAAGTCTACTAGGTATTTTTAAAAAGCCTTTTGACGTCTTTCAATACAAATGGACTGATGTAAGGTGGTCTTTAAAACAGCCCTAATTTAAGATGGCAATCTCTAAAATGTTAAAGGGTGCTATATTTTAAAGGTCCATAAAAGGTGTGTGTGTGTGTGTGTATGTGTGTGTGTGTGAACATAGTAGTGTGATTTGAGATGATTCATTTGACAATTATTGAGCACCTCCTTATGTGCCAAGCCCAATGGTAGGCACTAAGGTATAATCATGAATAAAGTCACGTCATTCATTGGCAGAGCTACAGGTAAAGGGAGATGACACTGATATGAGAGAGACCTCCAAACACTCATGAGAAAATCCCATTATCTCTCCATTCTATTTTCCTACAACTGCTTTGAAGCCCCACTACAATCAAGGCAATTTCGTAAAAATTGGAATTGAGCATCGGAAGTGCCTTGGAAACAAGCACTCACATCAGTACCTAACATTATATAGCTGTGCTTACTCTAGACTGGCATTGGAGTAATACTGTACACGTGTTCACATTCTTACTCCACAGAGAGCCTTTCGAGCAGTTCTGTTTTATCTGCATTTCATGCATGAGGAAAACAAGGAGCAGAAGATTACTTTTACCAAAGGTTTCACAACTACTAAATGACCACATTTTTTATCCACATCAGCTATTTGGCATTACAGCCTAGACTTCTTTTTTATTATCTAATAGCTTTATTGGCATATAATTCACATATCATACAGTTTAATAGTTCAATCCTATTAAGATGAAGTGTGCCATCATTGCCACAATCAATTTCAGAACATTTTCTTCTTTGTCATACTCATTGCTGTTAACTCTTGATTCCCCCACCAATTCCCCTGCCCTGCCCCTGGGTAATTATTAATCCAGTTACTGTCTCTCTAGATCAGGGTCTAGAATTCGTAGCCGGTGCTTTGTAATCATGAAATCCACCTTGTAGAAGGAGGGGAAGAAGACAACATCAAAGAATGGGGTGGGTCTTACCAGTGTTCGCAGAGACGAATTCAAAAGCAACCAATGGTATATGAAAGTAATCCCCAAATCCTGCTGCGAGGGCCCCTTCATACTGCAGGTTGACTCTAAGCAAAACATGTTTAAACGTGACTCTGCTCAGGTGGACTGCGATGGCTGGACACAGTTCTGGCAGCAAGACACTTGGTGCCTTAAGGAAAGAAAAATGAAAAAAAATAACAGATGTGCTGTGTACCATGGAAAGCAAACAATTTAAACTTTTTATGTAAAGGTCCTTTTACTGGGGTTCTGACAGCTCTTGTAACAATCCACACATCAATTGTTATCAAGCGTAGTTTAACACAGGTTGCCATCATGATTTCTAGACATTTACTTTCTATTGAGCCCTTGGTATCAGCTCCTTTTTTCCTTCCCTCCCCACCCATATTCGTGACCTCTTGATAAATGGTAAAAATTAGTATTTTCATCTCTCACACTGACTGCTATCTCCCTTCCCCCACGGTTCCTGTTGTTCGTCCCCCTGGGGATGTGGGGGGTGTGGTTATGTGTCAATTAATGCCCCTTCATCCTCTCCTCGCCCCACCTTCCCCCTACCCTCCTTGTATTGCTGCTCTCATTCCTGTTCCTGGATTCCATGCATAGTGAGCTCTTCTCTCTTATCTGTACCTGTGCACATGCTCCGGTCTAAGCCGCAGTGAAAGACTGGACTAGGGTCATGATAGTGGGGGGTGAGGAAACCTCAAGGAACTAGAGGAATATTTGAGGCCAGGGCTTGATAACAAATTTTTAACAAGACTAAAATGGGCATCTTCCCAAACTATTAAAGTTTCTAACAAATTGGTGAAACTGCTGCACCACCTAAAACATTGGATTTTAAATGGATCGAGTGTTTAAGGAATGTCAAGAGAGACCTCAAGTATGAGCGAGGCAGAGAGGTCAGCTAAGAAGGTTATGGAGACTGTTTAGAGAAGTCTTAAAAGGGGTAATCTCAATATATTTCTTAATTGGGAGTTAATATATATCCTAATCATTCCAAAGTTCAGTCACATCAACCGGTGTTGTACAATTGTACCACAATCAGTTTCAAAACATTCTTTTCCTTCCTGGACGCCGAGATATCAGCTCCTTTTTATTGAAAGACACAGTGCCCTCACGAGGCCTCCATAGTTACGTGGATGAGCTGCTTGTAACTGAAGCCCACAAGGCATCTGGTGAATTTCAATGGTATTTCACACACAGAAAATGGTCTCTTTAGACCACAGGGAAAGTGAGAGACCTGAGTGAGTGTGTGTGTGTGTGTGCGCGCGTGTGCGCGCGCACGCGCTTTGATATCTGAACTTTTAGTTGATAGGATAAGTTTATACTTAGATGGATATTTTTATTTCAGATATAACAGCTTGGTCAGATTGACAGAAAGAGATTTTTCTGGGCTGAACAAGTTGGAGCTACTAATGCTGCACAGCAATGCCATCCACACGATCCCCGACCAGGCCTTTGCGGATCTCCAGGCCCTGCAGGTGAGACCCGCGGCGGGGGCTTAACACATACGGTGGAGCCTGTGAGGTGTGCCTCTAACACTGCCTTTCCGATGGGATCTAAGCAAATCTTCAGGCAACTAAAAGTACACATCAAGAGAAAACATCAAAGAACTCATTTTCTTATGCAATGATAGGTGAGTAAGAGGGAAATCTGGAGGGGTATTTGATATACCTCCAGCTAAACCGTAAGACCAGTATTAAAAGCAACTCCAAGTCATATTCACTCATCTGGGAATCAGATGTGCTTCCTAACATGAATTATTTTCTTAAACCAAAGTTAGCTTTCAGTAAATCATTTTTTTTAAAAAATCAACTTATTCATTTCATGTCTCATTCAAGATTTATAAAAATTGTAAAGGTTAATTGGACTTACAAGGAAGCACGGGAAATTTAACAGCATTCTCATACAAGTAGGCAAGAACGTGAAAATCAAGAAGCATAGGAAAAAGAATAAAGTAATACAAAAACATATACATCGAGATCTTTAGCCCCGGTGGCACAGTGGGTTGTGAGTTGGATTGCCAACCGCAAGGTCAGCAGTTCAAAACCACCAGCCATTCTGTAGGAGAAAGAGGAGGCTTTCTGCTCTTATAAAGATTTGTAGTCTCAGAAACTCACAGGGGTAGTTCTACCTTATACTGTAGGGTCACTGTGGGTCAGGCTAGACTCACGAACAGTGAGATAATAGGACTCGAAGTTTCCCAAAAGGCAAAAGAGGACCCTTTATACAGTTTCTATGCCACTCATCTGTCCGCGTGCTGTGCTGTGGTGGCTTGTGTTGCTGTGATGCTGGAGGGTGCACCAGCAGTGTTTCACACACCAGCAGGGCCACCCAGTGTAGTCACCTTTGAGCAGAGTGTCCGGACTAAGACATACTGAAAAGGACCTGGCAGTTGGCCGGTGAGAACCCTGTGGGCAGCAGAATATTTTCAGATGGAGTCCTAGGTGATGATCCCCTCAACGCGGAAGACGTGATTGGGGGAAAGTGCTTCCTCAAAGGAGACTCGCTTAAGATCAATGAACTAAAGTTTTCGGCACCGTCATTTATTGCTGGGGCACAACTCAAGATGAGAAGAAACAGATTCAAACCTCGCTCGATCATCAGAACGTGGAACATGTGCGAGACGAACCAGACTTTAGAAGGTGACTGAAAGGAACTGAAGCCTGGAAAGGAATAAGTTTTGTGAACTGGCGTGGACTGATAGTGGGCGCTTCACACTTGATGCAAATACTGTACTGAAGTAGGGTGTCATAGTTCTTCTCTGAAAGAGCAGACCATGACCTACCCTGACGTGCAGAGCTGCAGGTGACAGGCTCATAACCATCGCTTACAAGGAAGAACAGTGAATATGACAGTTACTCACGTTTACACACCCACCACTAATGCCAAACACGGAGAAACGAAAGAGTGCTCACCATCTCCTGCGGTCTGTGATGGACCAAGCATGCAAGCAACAAAAACCCATCGCTGCTAGTGATGAGGCTGAAACCGTGGAGGACCAAGGAGAAGGATCGGTAGTTGGAAAACACAGCTTTGGAGACAGACACACCCCTGAGATCCCAGCAGAGATTTGGCAAGCCTATCACCCTCCTCATTCGAAATGCCATTTCCAGTGACATCAGTTGTCATGACAGACGTGGACCTCACCAGATGCCATCCAGAATTTATTCAACCCCATCTGTGGAAAGTGCCATGGGCCAGAACAAGGCCAGTGGGTGACTGCTTTCATGCCATTGTAGAGTTGTTTTTTCTTTCAGATATCCCCGCTAATTTTAATAAAGTCATTTTGCTTTGTTTTAAATGACCTTTTCACATAGAAAGTTAGAAAATATCTCAGTCATAGTGCGGTGGTATAAAGAACTCCCACTGAAAAAATACTCTTGGGTTTCTATTTCTTGAACATTTAGTGAAAGTATAATTTATGAGAGCATTAGATTTATATCTATCTATCTATCTATCTATCTATCTATCTATCTATCTATTTATCTATCTATATATATAATTTTATTGGGGGCTCGTACAATTCTTATCACAGTCCATACATACATCCATTGCATCAAGCACATCCGCATACCCATTGCCATCATCATTCTCAAAACACCTGCTTTCCACTTGAGCCCCTGATATCAGCTCCTTATTTCCCCCCCCTCCCTCCCTGCTCCCCCCATACAGTTGCTTTTATACCATTTCTTGTTGCTGGTGAAGTCAAATGAAACCAGTCACAGTAGCCAGAGTGTGACAGTAACTCTATCCCTACTAAATGTGGGGACCATCTCCAGAATCGATTAGATGTATTGAACACTAATGACTGGAAACCAGATGGGTTGCGGGATGACATCTGGGACATCTTCAAGGATAGGAAGACAGCAGCAAGGCCACATGGAGTCCAGGGAAACAGTGTTCCCAGGTGAGGAGCATAGGTGAACAACTGCACAGGGTCCCTGAGAAGAGAGAAATATGATGCAGATGAACCCGCAGAGAAGCAAAGGTTGGAAATGCAACCAGGGGAGCGAGAGCTCTAGGGATCCTGTGACCACAGGGGAGGGAAGGAACCTGGAACTAGGGACAGGACTTATCGACAATGGCAATGCCTAGCAATTTGGGAAGTTCCCCAAGAATAATGGGCCCCCAAACAAAAAAACCATATCAATGTGAATGAGGGGGAGGGCAAAGAGGAGATGCAAGGCCCATCTGTAGACAATTGGACATCCCCTTACAGAAGGGTCACAAGGAAGAGACGAGCCAGTCAGGGTACAGTGTAGCACTGATGAAACACAACTTTCCTCTAGTTCTTTAATGCTTCCTACCTCCACTGTCATGACCCCAATTCTACTTTACAAATTCGGCTAGACCAGAGCATGTACACTGGTACAGATAAGAGCTCACAGCAACACAGGGGATCCAGGACAGGTAAACCCCTTAGGACCAATAATGAGAGTAGTGATACCAGGAGGGTAAGGGTAAGGTGGGGGGAGAAAGGGGGAACCAACCACAATGATCTACATATAGCCCCCTGCCAGGGAGACGGACAACAGAAAAGTGGGTGAAGGGAGACATCAGTCAGTGTAAGACTGAAAAAATAATTTATGAATTATCAAGGGTTCATGAGGGAGGGAGGGTGGGGGAGGGAAGGGAAAAATGAGCTGATAGCAAGGGCTCAAGTAGAAAGGAAATGTTTTGAAAATGATGATGGCAACCTATATACAAGTGTGCTTGACCCAATTGATGTGTGGATGGTATAAGAGTTGTCAGAGCCCCCAATAAAATGATTTATCAAACTTTTTAAAAGAGAGAGATATCTCCCCCCACCCTAGAAAAAAAACGTTTGGGAGCAGGTGTCTAAATACAACTATTGGTTTCTACTCATTGGGACCACAAGAGAAGGAAGGTCATCAAAGAGTCAAAGAAGAAACTAGCCAGGGGCTCTCCTAGTTGAGACCAGAAGAACCAGATGGTGCCTGGCCACCGTTAGTGACCATTCTGACCAGGCGCACCATAGAAGGTGCCAGCTGGAATGGGAGAAAAACGTACCCTTTATGTAGGGCAGGCTAGAGAAAGAGCCAGGAAGATGGCCCCCAGATATACTTATAACTTGTAACTAAGCTTCTCCTGGAGGTCACCTTCCACTCAAACAATAACTTGCTTTATAAAATAAACATCACTGGTGAGCAATCTGTTTCCATAAACAATCAACTATATAAGATCGAAGGTCAATATTTCCCCCAAAGATGAGAAGACAAGGCGGGGGTGGGGGAGATAGGGAAGCTAGATCAATGCAAACAGAAGAAATTGAGAAAAATGTGAAAATTGTCATCAATGCCCAGAACAATGTGTGTAAAAATTGCTCAATGGGAACCTGATTTGCTGTGTAAACTTTCACTGCAAACACAATAAAAAATCAATATATTTTAAAAGAGAAGGAACAATAAAAAAAAGGATGTCAGGCTTTTCTGAAATTTGCTCTTGAATGTATTAAAAAACCACCATATCACTTTGATGACTGGGGTGTACTGGATCCAAATGATGGTATATTCACACGGCCCCATGCATGGAGTGAGGCCTTTGAATTACGGCATCAATGAATTCATGAACAGATCTACTTGACAAAGACATCGAGCAGAATGTTCCTTAGAAGAAAAATTGGCAAGATTTCCCCTCATATACTTTGGATAGGTTACCAAGAGGGACTAGATCCTGCAAAAGGACATTGTATGTTTCATCAGTGCTATGCTGCACCCTGACGGGCTCTTCTCTTCTTTGTGACCCTTCTGTAAGGGGATGTCCAATTGTCTACAGGTGGGCTTTGGGTCTCCACCCCACTTTCCCCCTCAGTTACATTTATATGATTTTTTGTTCTGGGGCTTTGGTGCCTGATACTTTAGCCCATCGACACCTCAGGATCAGGCAGAAGGCTGGTGTGCTTCCTTTCTGTGGGCTTAGTTGCTTCTCAGCTAGATGGCTGCTTGTTTATAGAAGAATGACTTCTAATGGGCACAGGTTTTGATTTGGGGATGATGAAAATTCTGTGAGCTAGATAGTGATGATCATTGCACAGCAATGTGACAATACTTTAAACACACACACACACACTACTGAACTGTATACATGAAAAGGGCAAGGTTCATAGCATATGAACTATAACTTAATAGAGCTTTGATAAATGTGAAAATAAATTAATATCAATATTTTTCTTATGGATAGACTTGAGAAGTCTTGAATTTACTTGAAATATTAAGAGAGGTAAAGCAGTATATTATGGAAATTTCAACTAGCTACAGGACAGATGTTGCCTTATCTGCATCCTACCCACCTCTTGTGAATGCCAGTGGGTTGTTAGGAAGCAAATCCAGATCCCGGTGTTTCTTCTACATCTACTTCCACAGCTCAAAGTACAGGGAGCTTTTAACACGTAAGCACCCTGCCATTACTCTCCCTTTCTAATTCGAATTCCTTAACACCATCAAATGTTCCTCTGAGCTCTAATTTCCCTGGTATCCCCATGTTAAATCAGTAACTAATTTGTTTGCATTTGTACCCAAACAAGACACACACACACACACACACACACACACACCATTGTGTTATCTCGTCATGTGTTTTAATATCCCTCCATTTCCCTTTTGTCAAAATGCTGTTGACAGCATAAATGTGTCCTGCCTTTTCCTTCTTCTTAGGTCTTAAAACTGAGTTATAACAAAGTCCAAAACCTTCGGAAGGAGACTCTTTACGGCCTCAGAAACTTGACAAGGTTGCATTTGGACCATAACCATATCGAGTTCATAAACCCGGAGGTTTTTCATGGACTCACCTTCCTCCGACTAGTGCATTTGGAAGGAAATCAACTGACCAAACTTCACCCAGATACGTTTGTCTCCTTGCGCTACCTCCAGATCTTTAAAACGTCTTTCATTAAGTACCTGTACTTGTCTGATAACTTCCTGACCTCCCTCCCTCAAGAGATGGTCTCCTATATGCCTGGCCTGGAAAGTCTTTATCTCCATGGAAACCCATGGACCTGTGATTGCAATTTAAAGTGGCTGTCCGACTGGATCCGGGAGAAGCCAGGTACCTATACTATTGATTTCTTTGCCTTTAACAAACTCGAGGAAACTTACCTGGAAGTGGTTACCAGTAAGCGGAGTAGCGAAAGTAATATAGTTGGAGAGAAAATAAAACTATAGAAATTTCAGTAATAATGAATGCTCTTTATTCAGTAGTGAAATAATCATTCGTTGTTTGGGGTCAACTATTTAGTCAAAAGGAACTCTGGAGGCACTGTCTGATAAGCACTGGGCTGCTAAACTCCAGGTTGGTGGTTCGAGCCCACCAGATGCTTTGTGAAAGATGAGGCTACCTGCAAGAGTCATTCAGTCAAGCAACACTCGTTGTAAACTACAGTGTGCGAAGGGCCTGCGAACCTGGGAATCTCAAAATGAACAAGGCAGATTTAGGCCCCTGTTTTTTTGTTTTTTTTTAAACATTTTATTAGGGGCTCATACAACTGTTATCCCAATCCATGCACACATCAATTGTGTAAAGTGCATTTGTACATCGTTTCTCAAAACATTTTCTCTCCATTTAAACCCCCGACATTAGGTCTTCATTTTTCCCCTCCCTCCCCGCTCCCCCCTCCCGCATGAGCCCTTGATAGTTTATAAATGGGTATTTTGTCATATCTTGCCCTGTCCGACGTC